TAAATTTAAAACGGATAGCTACATAAAAATAATGGAAAAAAAAGAAAAACATTAAATTAAGGATTTACAAGTTTTCAAAAGGTTATTAAAACAAGATTCTTATCAGGTTAACAAATATTTCGAAGCAATTTGACATTTTAAAGTGTTAGTTAGTTTCTTAAACCTTTTCAAAGGTGTTCAAAAATATGGAAAACAAATTTTATTAATATTCTGCATTCCACTTCGTTTCACTTGAAAATACGAATTGAATATTGATAAAATTTCTTAAGTAGTATTTAAAATTGCCATATCTCCAAACAAAATCTAAATGATTCTAAAATTGGCGAAAAAGCGTTAATTGCGAACTTGCAATAGAATAAAAGAAAAGTGCATCTTCTTAATACAGGCATTTGGTGATTCTAATGGCAATTTATTATGGATCTTAATAATATTATTTCTGAGTGCTTTCTTATGATAAAAATTTGTTGCATTGACATTAATTTCTATATCCCTTTCAAAGGCTACTTTGGCGAACTAATTAGCTCTTTCTTTGCCAACAATTTATAAAAAAAAGCAAAAAGTCACAAATTTTATTCAAGAAAATCATTAAAGAATGATTTGAATGTTAATGATATTATTATGATACGATACATTATATTTTATAGATTTTAATAAAGAAAAAATTTCATTTAAGGGAAATAAAACTGTTTCGTCCCTAATAAATAATATCGATACACCCTACTTTATAAATCCCGCATCCAAATTGGGACTTATTACCTTCATTGAAAGAAATAACTCGCGCCAAAGTAGCATTATCTCATCGAATTGAAAAGGAAATGGGAGGAAGCTTTTAACTTCCATCTGAGCTTCCATGCCTGTTTCCGAGTAAGTGGAAGAAAGGAGTCCGGTCGGATAATGCTCAGTTTACATGAGCATCCATTTTTATCAAGTCAATACTAGAAAAACATCAGTGATAGATTTCGACCGACTTTTTCCTGCGACCAGAGCGTTACGCTTTCGATGTGTACAAGACAATGCTTTTAGTCTGGGGTTTTTATTAAATTGTTTTGATTCCTAAAAAAGAATGCATTGGTAATATCTGTTCGTGTTTGCGTTTTTTTTTTCCTTTTAAAGAAAAAAATCTGTCTGAATTGAAAAAAAAAATGCCTATGAAACATTTTCATTTCTATTGAATACATCGGCTAAAAAAATTTACAGTCATTTAGTATAAAAAATTGCATTTGCAATTATAATTATTCATTTAAAGAATTGCAATTTACACGTTAAAAATATTATAATTTAAAAATGTAAAAAAAAAGTTATAAATGCATAAATACATAAAATATAGTTTTTACTAAATTAAAATAAAAAAAAAACCCTAAAAAATATAGAGAAATAAACAAAAATTACTATAATAATTTCAATTATAATATATTAAATTACAAATTCAATAGTGAAAATATTACAAAAATGTAAAAAAAAAATACAAAAAAATTGCAGTTGCAAACATACTTTAGGCTAGAAAGTTACAAAAGTACAAAAATAAAATTACAAATATTGCATATAGAATATCTGCAAAAAAAATGCGAATCTAAGATACAAAAATTGTAGCAAAATTATATTACAATTACAAAATCACAAAAATTCCCTTGAAGGTTAAATATACTCTCTATTGAGAGTAGTTTAGGAATATCGTTTACCATAATTTCCTATAAATAATAACTTATTCAGTAGGACGCTATCAGAGCTTCAATCGGAAGCTTCAATTTCACAGCTTCATGAATGTGAATCCTTCACATCTAGTTTCATGGAATCTTTGATATCGCCTTTAGTTGATGAAGCTTAAGCATTTGAATTTTTCTATTCTTTCTACTATGCATATATGTAGAGTTTCAACCGGTTCCAATAGATTCATCCCAGTCGAACCTACACTTTTCGTAGACTTCTCTACCAGTCTAACAATGGTATAATGGCCTGAGTGGGTTGTCTAGGGGTGTATTTCAAAACACATTAAAGAAACGTTGTTTTTCTCTCAACAACAAACATTTAATTAAGTACGGTTATATGTAAAGCGATATTTACATTAACAATTAATACATCATAATCACATTCTCTCGCTGCTTGACGCAGCCTGCCCTATCTCGCTCCTGTCTCGTTGACCGCCAGCCGTTCTTTTTCATCTTTCTTCATCTACGGCGACCTGTCCCCTTCTCGTGGGGTCAGAGTTCAAAGTTGAATACTCCCCCACATTGTAAACAGGCTCTGTCAAAGACAAGCAACCGTGATGTGTCGCCGCCTGCTGATTACCACACAAACAAATCCGACATATATACATAAAAAATACTCATAAAACGTTAAAAAATATTGTATTAATTGAATATTTTTATTAAGTAATATTTTATTAAGTAAATATTTCCAGAAAGGTAAAATCCCTTTTCAAACAATAGTAACACTCCATCAAGAGCTCTGCGTCTGACAGATGCATTTTATTATTTTATATGCCGATTTTGATCCCATTCACTATTATTTTTATTTTTGTTCCATTCTTTATTCTATTTTATTCAACTGACTAAAACATTTTCAGTTTTTGTCTGTAGGAAATACTTGTCCCTCCCACAATTTGGAAACCTCTGAGTTGAACGATTTAACAGCTTTCCATAGCAACTTTGTTGCTAGTGATTTACACTATAATATCGTAGAAGTTATCACCTTTTATCTGTTTACATAGCAAAGGTTGCTAAAACCGAAACACAAAAACACAATAAATTTTGTAGCTAGTGATTTACACTATAATATCACAGAAGTTATCACCTTTTATCTGTTTACATAGCAAAAGTTACTAAAACACGTACTAAAACCGAAACACAAAAACACAACACAAATGGAAAAGAAAAGAACATCGATCTTTCATAGTAGCTCAAAAGACGTTTATTAATTATTTATTTAATTATTTTCAAAATAAAAACCATTTCATACTCTTAAATATGAAAAAAAATAAATTTAATTAATTAATAAAAGAGGCGACTTATATAAAATCTCCAGGGTGTTAGTTCAGAACTAAAATATATTATAAGGAGAAGCCTGATATTTTTGTAAATAACTTATGCACTTTTAGAACTATATAGAACTTTTTTAAATGAAATTATTTGTTTGCAATATCAAAATATTCTGCAAGCATTTATGTTAGACATAGGGATTGCAATATCTGACCAAAATGTCAATACCGGTATTCGGTATTTTTTTTTATCTTAATACCGGGATACCGGTTTTAATACCAGTAGTAGAAATTTTATTGGTGCTGTCATTTTACTTATAATTTCATCCAAATTATCTTTTTTTTTTTTTTTTTTTTTTTTTTTTTTTAAATTATCTAAAATCCCTGATGGCTTGAGCTTAGAACTGAGCTTAAGTTTGTATATTCATCGCAATTATATTCTTTGCTCTTTAACAAATAATGAAGCCAAACCGAAGTATTATCAACTGACTTTTTATGTTCTTTAAAGTTATTCTTATTCATTATTATAGGATATTATTTATGAGTATATATATATATAATGAATCTGCAAAATATTTTGGAATTCTAAAGTATGATATACAAATACAATGCGAATAACAAACTCACCAATTTAAAAAATTACACACTTTCTTCACAACTACAACCTTGTTTTCACACATAAAAATTCTGAATAAGAATTCACACATAAGAATAAGAATTTCACACATAAGAATAAGAATTCCACACATAAGAATAAGAATTTCCCACATAAGAATTCTTTCACACATAAGAATAAGAATTTCACACAAGAATTCTTTCACACATAAGAATTCTAAATTTCTAGTAAATACTGAAAAAAAAAACGGTATTTAAACTTGTGAATACCGGTATTACAAAATTGTACAAATGGCGCAAAATACCGGTATTCGGTATCCTGGTATTGCAATCCCTAGTTAGACATTGGTAAATTTGGAAATATTGATATGAAATATGAAATTCATGGAAAAAACTTTTTTTGATCTCAATTGTAGGGGATGAGTACGTGATCCCAAACGCATTCAAATTGGTATAATAAAATTGGAATGAAAAATAGCATATGTGTCCCGAGTCACATTGAATGAGCTACAAATCTGACATCTCATGTATTAGATAAGAGTACCGGCATATGAATATAAGAATTTTAGATTTAGATAGACGATTGATGCGATTTGAAATTAACAGTCAAAATATATATTAAGAATGAAAAAAAATTATTTTAATACACATGCTTTAAATAGATACTTAAAATATAATAATAATATAATTTGTTTTTTTAATTTTCAAATAACTGTTCTTCTTCACTTCAAACACAATTTTTTTTTGTTCCAACGCAGCTGGTAAATACGTCGACAATTGTCTTTGATGCCTTAAGGCAAGCGCAGCACAGACGTTACTCACTTAGCACTACCCAAGAGGTGCATGTAACTTGAAGATAAGCCACGGACGCGGAGTAACAATACCCCCGCAACACTCTACGATCCTGTTAGACCGGGACCTACGGTTTAAAGTGGATTCCGGATCACTACAAACATCCATGGCACTGCCGGGATTCGAACCCGAAACCTGTGGTACCGAGCGCCAGAGCGCTAGCCACTCGGCCATTCAGAACCTCATTTCAAACACAAATTTCGATACAGATTTTCATTTGGTTTAAGAATCAATTCCTTCAAAATTGTGCATTAAATATCTTTAATGTTGTTGTTGTTTGTTGTTTCTTATCCCACTTGGCTGGCCAAGCCCACGAGCCCATATGGACTCATGATTGAAGGGGAAGGAAGCAGCTTCTGTTGTGATGGAGCACCCCGTAGGTAGAAGCCTGACTTTTGCTCCGTGACGCTCTTAGAGTCATAGAAGACCGGGACCTACGGCTTAAAGTGGATTCCGAACCACTACAAACATCCATGGCACTGCCGGGATTCGAACCCGAAACCTGTGGCACCGAGCGCCAGAGCGCTAGACACTCGGCCATTCAGGTCCCAAATTTGCCAACGGCACGCAGTGTTCCCAGGTGGTCACCCACCCAAGTACTGACCGCGCCCAGTGAAGCTTGACTTCGGTGATCTAACGAGAACCGGTATATTCAGCATGGTACGGCCGTTGGCTAAATATCTTTAATTCATTTTCTATGTCTAAAATTTATTATTGAAAGCAAAAATAAAATGTGAGGGGAAAGGAGCATATATCCTTCCTTGCGTATTATGTGTATCACAATTCACTATAAATCTACCATTTCAGATGTGGATAATTTTAGATAAATGACCATATGCAAATACAATGGCAATACATTTTTAAAAAATTCCCCATTCGCATAAAACAATTTTAGATTTATGTGATTTGAGTCAAGAGATTTTGGTAAAGATTGATTTTTAAAAATATTATGTTAAGCTTTAAAAAGAAGTTTTTGATTTAACCACAATCAACTAACCGAAATCCATTAATCAAGCATTTTAGCTAACATTTTTGAATGCTTGCCAAGATTGGGTATGAGAAACATTATTTTCTTTTAAACCATTTGTTTAGGACTGTAATTTCATTTTAAACATGGAAAAACTAAATCTTGAAGTAAACGTTATGTTACATTTAAATAAAAGAAATAAATACGGCATTCGGTTTCATATTTACGTGAGTACATATTTATACATTTATTTTTTATTTGGAGATATGTATTCCTAAAGTTTTTTTTTAAAAAAATGTTATTTAGCTGTCACTTTACTGAAATGAAAGAAATATTTTGGGGCTTTTCGTAAGAAAGTATTTAATCCGAACAAAAATTTAAAAACTGACATTTTAAAAGCAAGCAATTCATCTTAAAAGAAATTTAGTTACTTTTAATGTAATTTTCTTAAAGATTTGTAATTTTCGATTGTAAAAAATTTTGGTCTTATTTATAAACTAAAAATGTTGTTTATGCATGTCACTTGCAAACAAGAAAGGACCATAAATTACACAATGATTTACACAAGCCTATTAAAAATCGCATGCAAAATAGGAAATCATTTCTTAGAAAAGAAATGAAAATGTAGTAATTGTAAAGCAATTCATTTATGAATTTAAAAAAAAGATAATAAATGATGGCATTGAAATAATTTTTTCCATTAACTATTTTTTCTATTTTATTTTTTTTTATTTGCACCTTTTAAATGTAAAGTATTTTTTTTTCCTTATAGAAGTTTATGCGCCATGAACGTTCCTCAATAAAAACAAGGAAAATTAGTTTTTTTTAGTAAAATATACTATGGTATTGCATATTAAGTGCTTCGACATAAGTCGCGTTTTTAAACCTTCAATGCAGATTATGAATCAGTTATTAAAATTACTGTAAACATTTTCTCATGAACAACATTCTGCAATTTATACTTAAAAAATGAGGTCAGTTCGAAGAAGTTCGTTATTTCCTGAGACAGTTCGAAGAAGAATCAAGTTGCAAAATGTTGGTGGCATACTTTATCACGGTTATCAGAAAATAATTGTTTGCTACGTAAGGAATGATCAAGATGACCTGATCGTTGATAGCTATATTTACCAGATTCGCTAAGTTTGGATTTTTTATGCATCCAAATTAAAATTTCCATACCTCAATATTCTCGATTACGTGCCTAGACAATTACTGCTGCTGGAAAAATACCGGATATGCTTAAAGATTTGAAAATGTCAATAGATTCATGTCCTAGGTAATGTGGAGCTTGTATTAACGTTGATAGCAGTAGCCTATTAGTTTTGTTGTTTAGATTCATTTGAAAGTCGTGTCAAAAATGGAATTATTTAAAAATCTTTCCATTAGATGCCTGTTTATAATATACTTTCCTAGATTTTCTTAATGTGCAGACCTTAAACTCAGCATATATCTTAAAAATTTGGTCATATATATTATCTGATAATCTTGTGTAAATTTAATTATTTTATGAAATTACCTCAATTCTTCCAGGTTCTTTTGAGAAAGTAGCCTTGGTATACTCATTGTAATTTTTTTATTTAATGACCTCTTAAGTTGTTTTATTTAATGGCCTATAAATTGTCATGCAGAAAATTAAATACTGATCCAAAACCTTTGATTTCTTCCTAGTATTTAATTTCTTCCTATTTTCTTTAATCAAATTAGATATACAAGTATATTTTGTTAACATTTCATGCAATTCTTGATTGCTTTCTACTTTATACAAGGTGACACAAAACTTCTACTGATAAATTCCGTAGGAAAATGTAGGACCTCTATATAAATCATATTCACAACGGATTGGTGGTAATGTACCTGTATCTTAATGTTCGGCATTTACAGCTTCCTTTTTGAAGCTTTCTATATCGTATGGAGACCAGGCAGATGAGATAACAATGCCATTGCGTGCAAAATGTCCGGTCCTTCTTACTTGAACAACGCACCAAGAAACAGCAACACCATTACTGACGTTACACATTATATTATTACGTTATTACGTTTGGCAATGGGCCACAGATGCACCATTGACAATGATAAATTACATCTACTAAAACTGTATTCTATGTGCATCAATTATTGCATTAGGTACACTATTGTACTGCTACAGAACATCTGTTCTTACTGTATCATGGTGTTTCTTTTATATCTATATGTCTGTTGGTAACGCTTCAAGTCATGTTTTTCTATTGGGAAATGTTCATATTCATGCCCTTTACCTCCTCTCAAAGTTTCTACACAGAATTATAAGACTTCCTGTATAAATAGAATTTTTAATTTAAAGATTGTTTTATTATTAAAATCTATTGTGATGTCGAATATTATAACACGCAATTATTCTTAAATTCCTTATATACACAGAAAAAGTAGTTACCATACGTTGATTTCCTGGACTTTACAATGTGTAAATTCTTTTCATATCTATAATTAATAATTTTTCTATGCTTTCAATTCATCAACAAACTTTATACTGGCAGAATAATACGAAAATATAAATGTTTAAGCAAACGAATTTTCATAGTAATGTGCATAAAATGTGCATTCTTACAGAGTAATATAAAACGACGTTAAAAAAATTATTCTTTCACTTTCGCTAATATTTATAGTTCTTGACATCAAATCTTCATCTTAACATTTCAAACATATTTTGAGTATTTGTTTTCTACGGAGATATGTCTGTCTGGACGCTGTTTTCTAGTACCAAATATCTAGATTTCGAGAATGACCTTCGATTTATTTTAACTTCTTTTTATAGCTAGAACAACCTACTTGCATAAAAATGCTTTCAATCAGACTACATTTACGAATACGTCAGAAAAGTAGAACAAATACGAAATGCTATAGAAACACTAAAAGAGTTGTTCCTGATGTCTGGGGATATAAACTCAACTCATATTTCAGAGAAATCTAAGCCAGTAACCATATCAATGGATGTATATTCATGACTATGTACTTTTAGTATCAACAAACGGTGCGGTTTTATCGTGTATTTCATGACAGTTGTCCCTATCTTAAAAATTGAGACTGAAACAAAGTCACTTTTAGAACGAAATAGATAAATATACACATTTCCTTCTTTTTGACTCTAGCTCTGAATTCCTAAACTGTTGATAAGAAACGTAAT